GGTCATTCCCACTTGCAAAGCAGACAGCCGCAAGCTATTAATTTCACGTATACTTGCACATGTTTTCACGCTGGTAATCGCACCCGAGGGCAAATTTTTTTTATTATATCTTTATTCTCTCTTGTATGCTCAAATGCTGTATATGCATTCGCTTTTCGCAGAAAAAATGAAAGGAAGAGAGAAAAAGAAAGAAAAAGAAAGCATAATTTATTAAGCGTTATGAGATCAGCGTTACAAAGAAAATATACAAAAAAGCCGTTTTTGATAATGAAGTAATGATCATAATAAAGATAGAGAGAGAGAGAGAGAGAGAGAGAGAGAGAGAGAGAGAGAGAGGGAGAGAGATCGGCCGCTAATAATTAGAATTAAGTTGGCGAGCGGCCGGAAGGTAGTAGAGGTGTACGGAGGTAGAATTATCGTGGTGAGAACGAGATAAATAAGGAGGGCGTGCGTATCCTCGCCTCGGCATCGACAGTGCGTAACCGCTAAGCTTCTAATCGGCGAACGTTAAAACGAGCATCGCCGGCGGAGGATTAGTTTTCTCGGAGGCGTCTAACCGTAATTACGGGATCGACGTGAACCGCTTTCGCATGCGATCGGTGTGGCATGCAGACTGCGAGCACGCGCGTATGCGAGCTCAGGCGAATCTATCTGTCGGTTTTATACTCGAGGGATAGAGGGATGTAAGTTCAAAAACTCATTTTATCAGGTGAAGCCGGAGAAAAGAGAGAAAGAGAGATGCGCGCTTTCAAAATAAATTAAATGAATGAATACATTTATGAGTTTCGTTATAAAAGTCAAAACTTATGAAATAACTTGTAACAAATAACGTAGACGTGTGTTTGCGTACTCCCGATATCTCATCAAATTTCAAATCAAGTAAAATCGGACTCCTCTGTTTCTCAAGATGTGAAAAATATATTTTGTTTCCTCGAATTTCACGTTTCATTTTTGTCGAAAAGGGCAAAGATTGAACAGATTAAACCGCCATTCCAAAGGAATGTTTCAAATGTGCAAAAGGGAATTTTCGGGTCGTCTTATGCAAATTCAATCGTTCATATAGATTCTGCTTCCTATATCGCATGCGGTGACACCACCTCGCCCATATCTCTTCAGCTCAGAGGCTATTCGGTGTACATTACAGAAATCTATGATAATGTCCGGCAAAAAGCGCGACACTCCCAGGGTCAAAGATCCCGTGAAGCTCCCGTCTCTCTCTTTCTTTCGCGCGAGCGCGATGTGCCTCTCGCGTTTATCAGCCGTGGCTGCCGGACGCCTCGATAGACGACACGCGAATGAGAAATAGAGTGGATAAACCGGCGGATAACCTTGATTAATTCTATTAAATATAATTGGATCCCCATGTGCTGGCGGGAATATCGCCGCTCTGATGTACTGGAATATCGCGTGAGATGTAAATTTTCCGAGTATCGTCGGTTATACGCGCCGAAAGAGTATTATTCAACGCCGTCGTCCATTCTCTGCGCTGTTTTTCCCGCCCGTACTCGCGAACGCACAGACTCGTAAAATATCGCGCCGCCCGCCCGAAGAACCGGTTGCCCCCCTGTATCGAAAAACAAATATTTTCTCGCGGCCTATCCGGCGGCTTTAAATATTTGGCCCGACGCTCTCGCGCCCGCCGCTCGATGCGATTCACCGCCGCGTATTGACGCGCTTCGAGATGTGCGAGGAGCAAACGTAACATTGAATTCGGCTCGGCGCTGAAAGTCTCTCGTAAGCTTCTTAATTGTTCAGTATCCCGGGGCTCTCTGTTGTTCGAGCAACGTATACCAAGTCATATACATAAATCACAAAGGAGAGCAATTACATCAAAGTACACACACAATCCTCACAAGCTGTTCGGTAAACAAACTTGCCTGATTCGTCGATGCGAAATTTCACTTAGAGACCAGTCAAAATAAAGATGATTCTGATAAGTTTGGCGTTTCAGTTAAGAATATTAAATTAAAGCAAAAATTCGGTCAGTCTGTTACACAGAGTCGGGCCAATTTTTCCTTTAATAAAGTTTCATAATACTTTTGTGAAGAAAATAAATTCTTTTTCCGAATACATGATAATGAACTTTCGTACAATTTGCGATGAGCATATTTTAAAATTAATATCAAAGAAAGATTTTTTAAGATAAGTCGGGAATATTACTTAAAAGGAGGAAAGTAGATTGACAAGTAACCCAAAAGTTACACTCCGATTTCTTTCTAATTTGGCACAAATGTAGAAGTACAAAAAATATTTGTTCATTATATTTTTTCCATTTTGATCCACTTTGAGTTTCACAAGTAGTTTATAGCTTTTTAATGTTTTTACACTTATCATCAACAAGTATAACAAAAATAAACAAGAAATAAAATTGAATACAAGATATAGTTAAATAATTTTAACAAAATCGGCATGGCTGAGACACAAATCAATCTAAACTTCTTTAGCTGAGATTCCAATCAAAATATTTTAAATCTGTGCAAAAATAGTAAAAAATGGTTCGCATCTCGGCCAAACCGAAATTCGGTAATTTTAATCAAAATTTTAACAAAATTGGCATAGCTGAGACACAAATCATTCTAAATTTCTTTAGGCGAGATTCCAACCGAAATATTTCAAATCTGTCCTAAATTAGTCAAAAATAGTTCGAATTAGCCAAACCGAGAACTTATTTGTATAAATAATTTTTTTTCAATTTTTTACATATGTTTTGTTTAAACATTTTATTATTTATACAAATAATTTTACACATTTGACTTCATATTTATAACCAGCAAACCAACAAACGTCTATATCTTGTATTCAATTTTATTTCTTATGTATTTTTGTTGCACTTGGTGAGAACATTAAAAAGCTATAAACTGCCCGTGAAACTCAAAGTGGGCCAAAATAAAAAAATACGACCTAAATATTTTTTGTACTTCTACATTTATGCTAAATTAGAAAGAAATAGGAGTGTAACCTTTGGGTAAGTTTACTTGTGAGTATAATCTATATATAAGTACATTTTTCTTAGCAGCGTAATATTTTTCTATGCACGCCTTCGAAAACTATTCGCGAGCCTCTTGGAAGTCCACTCAGCATTAGAGAACCGCGACAGATCTGAATCTGGAAATTCCCCTTGTCGGCTACCGTCCTTTCCGTCGCGTTACGAAACCCGGACACGTTTCTGCCGATAAATCAACGAGCAACAGTCGGCCGATCTCGCGAGCAATCCTCGATCGGGCTGCCAGCCGGCCGGTCGGCTGGTCGACCAGCCGATCAATCACGCGCTTTCAATCCCCGACACGTGCGCGATCCGGCACGGAACGTCGCAGGTACGAACGAGCGACGAACGTATCGCGAGCACCAGGTGGGCTGCTCACGCTAATTCACCAGTTAGCCTCGCACGCCCGGCATTCGACGCGTCACGTCAATTCGCATACGTCTATCCGCCCCCCGAACCGATCGGTGCCGTAACCAGCCAGGGAAAGATACGATATAAAATTTGATTGACCGGTCGCAAATCTGGACTGATCACATGCGTCCTTCTCTTTCGAGATTTTCTCAAAGATCCCTCGTCCTCTTTGAGAAATCTCTTTTTGAGGATTTTCACAATTTGTCATACTTTATTTCTCCTTTACTTATGATACATGGCTGCAAAGAGTTAGGTAAAAGATGTACGAGCAAAGATTAAAATATCGATGCTTGGACACGTATCTAATCCTGGATATTTTAAATACGAATAAAAAGTTTAAATATTCGTATTTAAACATCAAAATAGATTAGGTATATTAGCATTGATATTTTTACCTTATATAACTCTTTGTAGTTATGCATCGTAAATAAAGAAGAAATATAATAAAGCATGACAAATATATATATTCTATGCTGAAAATATTTGTATTTAAAAGCCAAAACAAATGAAAACTAAAATTTTTTAAAGTTTTAAGAAAATGTATATTTTCTTCTTTGAAAAATATTTTATATTTTTTTTATTTTTAGTATAAGTAAATATGTTGTTAGTACTCACCACAAATAAATATTTATCATTACTTAGATATTTTTTCTCTTAATGTACGTGTGTTCGGAAACTAGTAGTTGTACTTTATTGTGCAATTTGTAAAACACAAAAATTCTTAATATATCTGTTGCTTCAAAAGTTCTTTGCTCCACGCTTAAGATTTTTTCCTGATTACGTTTCTAATTTTCCAATGAAATGGCTGTGAAAGAAGAACTCTATCCTACACTCCATATGAGTGTCTTAGAACATGTTTCGTTCCGATGACGATACTGATTCTCGGCTGCTTCGGCCCCCGTGGCAGTCGGGACCATAACATAACACTCGGGGAATTAATCGAACAGCTACGAGATGCGGGGCCTCGGAGAGACGCGCTGACCGTACGGGACATAATAGATGGATAGTCGCGGTTAGATAATAGATGGATGAATACCGGCCGGTGGATGATAATAGGCTGTGTCAAGTGCGAGACGAGACTAGACGAGCTGAAGTAACCCAAGTGCCTGCGATGTGTTCGCGACACGGGGTCGAAGGCTCCGTGACGTCACGACGCTCGTCTCGTCTGACACCGCAGGGACCAAGAGAGAAGCTCGCATCTGCGCGCACGTTCAATCTTCTGCGCTACTTAGCCGCACTAATCGTATCAATCGTATTAAATTCCTGGGTAAATAGGCGTTATTAATGTATCACGCCACTTATATCGCATTTCTGAGACGCTCTAATCGTCTTGAATGGCCGCGAGGGCGCTGTGGTGGCACTCAGTCCACGACTATTTCGATAACGTCCGCGCGCGAGGAGTTAATTCCGACAATTGCTCGTGCCGACCGAATTGTATTCCGCGCGCGCGATTTAAAGAGCATTCCCGCTAACGACGCGTTTCCTCGCTCGCAGACGTCTGCGACCGGGGGAATTAAGCCAAGCGGGTTAAGCCGCGCGCCACCATAAATTGATTAAGCCACTGAAGAGCGCGATGTAATTTGTCTTCCGCTTCGTTTTGTTGCAGATCAGTGCGGAAAGTGCCGCGCCAGCACGAAGAGGCTAAATCTCAACAAGTACTGCAAAAGAGACTACGGTAAGCATCGTCGAACAATGTAGCGGAGCGGAGGACGGTGTATTAATCGCGCTTATCCCTGAGACATAGTGGAATCCGCGGAAACCCAAACATTGCATGCAAATCGTCGTCTTCGAGGGCCTATAGTTAACTCGTCGCTATATATAACGCGGTGTACCCCGCGGCTATTACAATTTCTAGAAATAAAACGAGTCACTGCAGAGTGAACGACAACGGTTCGCGCTTATTGACGAAATACCAAACTACAAGGACACCAACTCTTCTCGCGATATTTTAATTAAGGATAAATATTCCGCCGAAATGTTTCGCGAAACTTCGCCCATCCACTTTCATTAAACTCCCGCCCGAGTTGATTCGAAATTAACTGAGAGCCTGCTGCCTATCTACAATATCGAGATATTTGTTTCAGCAAAACTTCAATCTCGAATGTTCTCTCGTGACTGAATTTGCCGTTAAATTTTCTAATAAAAAATAAATATCAAATTTGCGTCGAAGAATATGCGTGGATCAGCTTGGGGACATTCGATGGATCTACTGAAATTTCAATCTGGTCTCGTTTTAATACTCGCGGCAAAAAATATCACACAATAAAAAAAGAGATTGCGTGTGTATTTATCTGTATGTATGTGTATGTACCGAGTACTTTTCGCTTCTCATTAAAAAGTTGTTTCGAGTTCTATAGAATGGAAAATTACTCTCATATTCGAATCGAACATCCCGTTGTTTTTCCGATGGAAGGGTAACAGTAGGTAACTCCTGAATCCAATATCATTATATCACGCCCGGCGAGCTAAACGAGAACGCTCGGGAGCGACGATAAACGCGACGGTACTATAGACAATCGTCGATTCCCGGCTGGCCACTGGTGGAAAAACGTTGCGCGGCGCAAAGCCACCGAAATTGTTTCGGCTTCTATCAGGGGTGAATGTGCATACGTATGCGTGTATGTGTGTGTATATGCAGTTCAGAAGGCGCATGTGAAACAGGACGATTTATGCCGGAGTGCCGTTCTCTCCCTCGAAAGTCCTCGAAAAAGTCACATATAAACGCATACACAGACAGAGAAGGACGAAGAGAGGCAGACAGAGAAAGAGAGAGAGAGATAAAGAGAGAGAGAGAAAGAGAGAGAGGAGCAACGAGGAATTTCGCTTTGCGAGAATTCTCGTTTGTCACAAATAATTCACGAGAATTGAAAGAAATTACTTTAAATTAAAAATTAATTGCATCGAATCAGTTTCAACTGAATCCGATATTTGTTCATCGAAAAATGATCACAAAATTTTCATAAGAATATTTTTCTTACTAGAATTTTCGCATTTCGACACATTAATCGTAATTACTAATTACTTCATCAGTTTAGTACTAGTAATGAAAATTTAAATCAATTATTTCGGATATCGACTTCTTTTGCGCTTCAGTCTTGGAATTCGTGAAATTCACTGTCGAAGAGAGCGGAAGGGTGAAAGAGAGAGAAACAGGGTTGTTTGTGCGTGGCCATGACGGTTCCCAACGAACGCGGGCACTCTCGCGGTAATGTGTATAACGGCTGGTTCAAAAATGAAAGGCTCGCGTTTTAACGGTGCCGGGGCTTTCAATAATAGAATGGCACGCCTTTGAGCCGGCTTTCGTCCGGGTGGCGGCAGCCTCAGCTCGGCTCCCTGCTCCCTCCTCTCTACCGTCGGCTTGCTTGATTCAGCGCAGATAAATCTTCAACAGGTCTGCACTTAGCTGTCTCCGACTTAGAATAGCGGGGCTGAAACGACCGCGGCGCATCTCGACTACGTCGCAAAAGCGAAACCGATCGGGAACGACGACTTCCCGCGCTATCCTCGTCGCTTGTGCGCGCACGTGCTCCCCGCGTGTCTTGTTTTTCTGTCAGCGGAATTTTAGCGCGGATCTTGAGTGCGAGACCGATGTTGAGATGCGTCGAGAGGTGTCGTAGGGAAGCTTCTTCCGTCGTTTCGGCATTTAGCTCGTAGAACCAATGCCAAAATTGAATCGAAGGGGAAAACGAAAGAAATGAGGAAAAAGATCGAGACTTTCGAATGATTCTTCCTTTAGGAACGAAAGAATATTATGTAACGGCCGTTCTTTAAAACGAACTTCAGCAGAGATATTTTCATTTAAAGTATTTGATGCAAAATATTCCATGATATACACACTCGCACTACTAAGGGATGATGTCACCGTGCGAAATATTTCCTAGATATCGCGCGAGTTTCTACGAAATCGTCAGAGAGAAAGAGAAAGATAAAATGCACGTTTCCGTTACGAGAATGCATTCCGCTATCCTACACCTCCCCCGCGAGAAACGAGAGGAGTCTCCACGGACCACGACGTGAGGAATAACGCGGCCCCACGATTCGAATAGCAAACCGCGGGGTCGAGCACGACGGCGTACAAACTCGTAACGCCGACGTCGAGTAATGAATGGTTCGATCGAATGCAACTCGACGCTGAATCGCTGTTTCGCCGGGGCATGACCCTAGTCCTTGGCGAAAGGCTAATAGTATCCCTGTCCTGAGGACGACAGGATCGATGGCACGCTCGTAACGGGAGGGAAAGAAAGAGAGGAAAAAGTCTCACCCGACCGCGGGCCCCCATTCGATTCCACGGTCTTGAAACGATTGTACGGCTGCCTGAAAGGACCCGGGCGTCCTTTCAGCCTAAGGAACACATGTGTGTGTCCATGTTAAAAGCTGACGCCGATTACGCACGATACAGGCACTCCAGTTACAACGCAAAATATCGACTCCACAAAATTAGATTTGATAGGAATAAAATTCGGATATACCAAAAATGGCAGCAGAACTTTTCACAGGCGGAAAATACGTCGTAGCATTTTCCACCTTTCCTAAATATTCCTTGTGAGGGAGCACAGCTGTAACTCCGTTTACCGTAAAATGGAATGGTACTTGCCCTCAAACGTTCTGTATAAGATAAAGGTTTTTTTATACGCGCTTTTTCTTGAGACGCTAATTTTTTACTCAGCTCCTGTTTTCGCCGTCACTTCAACTATATGACATAACACGGTAATGTGGCGCATGTGCTAAAAATACGATATTCAATATGCTCTTTTTCACCGTAGCTATTCTGGGAAGAATAACGGACAGACACAAGAAGAGCGACGGCTCACAATCCGGCACGAGCGTATCGGGCACATCCTGGATCCGATTCACTCTAAACGTCGACTTCATTTACAAGAAAAACCCCACCTCGAGGATCCGACGTGGCGACGTATCCCTTTACGTACACTCGGCTGATCTGGCCTGCAGATGCCCCAAAATCAAACCTAACAAGTGAGTATTTAGTCGCCTCGTATAGGAGAGACTACCAAATATCTCATTTCTTACTTTCATAATTTTTGATATTGTTTTCTTATTTACATCTCGTCCCTAAACTATGCGACCCTACGGCTGAAATTATTCGCAACGTAACAATTGTAAATTGTTTAATTTCAAAAGAAATTTCTGCAGACACACAAGATATTGAAAAGCGTCATGAAAACGTGGGAGGTATTCTCTTAAAGTGAATCAGAGAATAGTCACTGATACAAGTATAGCACTGAGCACTTTCAGTGCTATACTTATAACTGCAAATCAGTGTATATTCACTGTTTTCAGTGATGTTTCATTTTAAGAGAATATATATTCATTAATTCATTAGGTTACTTTTTCGGCACCGCACCAAATTGGTGTGACATTACTCTGTTCGCCTTGAACGGAAAATCAATTCGTGAGCAATCAAGGTTTCTCCGACAGCACAACCCCGATAATATGGAAACTAGAGCGACCGTTGCGGCCGTGAATTAAACCGCCTGTCAGACTCCAAACAGACGCGAGATCGTTGGGGTAGCCGGCGGCAGGCTGAAGGGGCGGCGAGTCGCGGCCTACGCTCACATTCGTTGCTTATGTGTGTTCGCAGGTCGTACTTGATTCTCGGCCAAGAGAGCGACGGCGGTGGTCAAGGTGGGCTCACGGTTACGCAGAGGTCGATCGTCATCGAGTGGCGTGACGAGTGGCACCGCCGGATGCGCCGTTTCCAGCGAAGGGCGAGATCGTGCCATTGAAATGCTCCATACGTCGCGGCGAGAGAGGAAGAGACAGGAAGCGCGATCAAGAGAAAATGAGAAAATGAAAGAGAGAGAGAGAGAAGAGAAAGAGAGGAAAAAAAGAGAGCAAGGGAGAAACCGAGGAGGGAGAGTGTGTGTATGCATGTGTGTGTGTATGTGCGCGTATGTATGCGTATGTGTGCATGTGTGTGAGACAGAGAGAGGAAGAAAGAGAAAAAAGTCGATCCCCTCCCAACCGTGCTCGTAGGAGCCCGCATATCTTCATTTCCCGACCACGAATACCGGTGTGTCGATTTTGTTTTACGCGCGGTACTCGTCGACGACCGCACGTCGAAGGCAACGAGGAGGAGGCAAGGAGGAGGACTAAAGGGGAAGCACCGATTCTTTCCGAGAGAAGCGTCCGCCGTGCGGAACGACGAGCGAGCAATGCACAACGTTGCGGAGAAATGGTTGTGCGTACACAAGCCGGCGTAACGTAGCCCTAACATTGGATATAACTGAATTAGTAGTACTTCCTAGTCACACACATTTGTGTTTTTGGACATTAAGGTAAAGTTATCATTATGACATCCACTGCTTAATCACATCGCTCTTCTTAGAATAATCAATAAATAACAAATCAGTATTGCGTATGATTAGAAAATCCTAATAACCAAGGTGCGTGACATGTTAAGGCTGTTATGCCGATCTGTGTACCGCGAACGCAACTCTACTATCGCGAATAAATCCTGAAGATGAAGCGATCGGCAACTGTCGATCGTTCCAATGTCAAGCTGGCAAATGAGCATCAGAGTAAACCACACAATTATTGGCATCTCCCTTACTGGCACTTTAGAAAAGCCTGAATCTTCACGGTACCAGCATTGCAGTTAAGCTTCTGGCAGGTATTCTATGATTTCAAAAGAAATCTTCACAATAAAAACTGTGAACTGATGTCGCTGATCGCAAGAAAAATCAGATTTTTCTAGATTTTTCATTTAATGACTAAGGGAATGCCAATAATTGTGTGGTTTATCTCACGGGAAAAAAAACTGATTGGATGAACCAAATATCTCGTGGAATATAACGAATCAGAGTTCGAGTTAAAGTCATCAGAATTTCAAGTTGACAAGATTTCTGATTAATCAAAATCTTGTTAACTTGAATAGAATTCTAGTAACCTCAATCGGAATCTGGTTCGTTTGTATTTCGCCAAATATTTGATTAATTCAGCCAGATTTTTTTTCCGTGCCTAATCTTGGAAACGGAAGCTAGTCAACCCTTGATGGACTATGGTACGTTAGCGTGGACCACTTTATTTAATTCAATACGTAAAATTCTCGAAGTTTATCCACGAGCATTCTCTAACGACACTCTGGAGCGTGCCGTCGACATCGTCGCGTTGCACAGGCAGATCGGTGAAAAGATTCGCTCAAGGACGACAAATTGTAGCTGCGAATCGCGCGACGAACGCTTAATCGCGGCGAACGCGTTTTGCGATGTGTCGATTCACTCCCGATATTCGCCACGCGACATTTACCCGTGACGAGCAATTTATCGAATCGGCGCGTATCCTCGAGGGCTCGACGTTGCGACCGTTCGCACCCGATAAATCGCGCGTCTGTGAGAAATGTCGCGAGATAAATGCCGGGTCGAATTTACGCGGCGGATTCAATTACTCCAGAATACCGCAAATCGCCGCGAAGGCGCGCGCGCGTTCCCGACGGTACAACAGCCGTTATTTCAACGGCGAATAATCGCCCCGAATGTGTCGCCCGATTTTCTGTACCGTTAGTACGGCGCCCAGAGCACGCGTGCGCGAGAGAGACAGAGAGAGAGAGAGAGAGAGAGAGAGAGAGAGAGAGAGAGAGAGAG